CCTTCACGATACTGATCTTTTCCTCTTTCTTTAATCTAGAAGTTCCTTTTGGATCTTTTCTTAAATCTCTTTAATATCTTTCCTCATTATGTTCTTTTTTTTCAATTCCTTACTATTAAGCATATTTTACAGATACCAGTATTTGTTCATTTCTGAATCTCTTTATATTAGATCTTTTTTCTCTTGGTTATGGGATACTTTTTCTGGCTTCTTAGATGTCTAGTAATTTTTTTTAGTGGATATTGAGTATTTTGAATTTGCATTGGTGAATGTCTGGGTTTAACTTTCTTCTTCTAAAGAGTGTTGAGCTTTGTTCTGGTAAATAGTTGATCCTACCACTTGATCCTTTTGAGGCTTTTCTTATGCTTCATTAGGGGAAGTCTAGATTAGCCACTCTAGGTATCATTTAACCCTACTATTAAGGCATGCCCCTTTTGAGGTTTCTACTAAATGGCCGCTAGTGATCAATGAGCACTTTGCATTCAAGCAGGTTAGAGTTCAAAAGTCTCCTTGCTCTATAATGAACTCTGAGAATTGTCCAGCCTACAGCTTCCCAGCCTCCCACCTTCTCCATAAGCAGACTGATGGCATCAGTTAACATGCAGACACCTTTTCCTTCTGCTGCAAAGCCATTGACATATAATTTGGAGGCTTTAGCCAAGAAATGCCCAGGACTGGGGAAACAGCAAAGGTCATCTAGGGGCTAGTATTTACCTGAGGGAAGGGTCAGAGATAGGTCTTGCATAAATACTATTTTAGTGTTTACAGTACAGATACCTACAGAGACCGAAAAAAAAACCAATCAACTTAAAATAAACAAAATCCAGCCTTGTTAAGAGTTTCAAGATTTCACAAAAGTCCCTCTTTTATAAGTAAGCAATTGGAGACTTTTGTCTTTAAAAGAATAAATATTGGCCAGGCACAGTGGCTCATACCTATAATCCTAGCATTTTGGGAGGCTGAGGCAGGAGGATTGCTTGAGGCCACGAGTTCAAGACCAGCTTGAGCAATAGCAAGACCCCATCTCTACAAAAAAAAAATAGAAAAATTAGCCAGGCATGGTGCATGTACCTGTAGTCCAGCTACTCAAGAGGCTAAGGCAGGGGGATCGCTTGAACCCAGGAATATGAGGTTGAGGTGAGCTATGACGATGCTGCTGTACTCTAGCCCAGGTGATGGCAAGACCCCGTCTCCAAAAAAGG